ACACTAATGATCTAAACCTGGTTGTCTTGACTCAAAAAGAAGTGGTAACCCGGTCTGGCGGGCGGTGGTGAGATTCCTTCGGGTTGGTGGATGCAAATCGCTGCGCATCAGGCTGCAGTTGGGAAGCGCTCAGTGCAAGGGGTCTGTTATTATCTGCTTCGTTTGCTCCTCTGGGAGGCGAAGTGTAAGTTTAACGATGGGGGGCGGGGTGGGGACGAGCGCGCACGGTCGCCTGTGATCTCCTGGGCCAGTGAAGCGGGCCAGACCGGTGTCAGCGCGCGTTTATTGATGGCAGGTATTTGGGGAGTAATTGAGCGCGGCGGCCGGCCCGGGGCGAGAGTGGGCCTCCACGAGCAATTAAATGTGATTAGGCCAAGACCTTCGGGATCCAGCTGGGTGACTGATAACCCGGCTGCATTCCTGCAGGGCCCTCGACATCAAACGGGCGGGCGGCCGGCGGGGCGGGAGGGGCGCAGGACGATGTCCTCCTAGCCCCAGTCGCTCACTAGGGCCACGGGGAAGCCCACGGCCGGCGCCCCCCTGCTCAAAGGTCAGTCCTTTGCTCCCGGACAGGTGCAGCCAGAGAGGGAAAGGACCACTTGGCGAGGAGCCCCCCGCGCTCCGCGCAGCTCGAGCTGCACCGCTGACCCGCCTGGCTTGAGCGCCTGCGTCGGGCACCAGATCGCTGGAGTCGGAGAAGACCGGAAAGAGAACGAGGAGGGGTCGGCGGTGGGTGGGGTAGGAGATACTGGACGTGAGACAGACCACATTAGAAAATGGCAAAACATTGAGGGACGCAATGAAGGAGCAAAGTGTCAGGAAGAGAGGAGCAGAAAAAGGAAAGAATTTAAGGAGGGTATAAAAATAATCGTGGGCTGTAGGAGAGAAAATTAAAAGGCATAAAGTAGGACCGACATGAGAAAGAATGAAAAGGGGTAATAAAGGAGACGCAACAACAAAAAAAAGGAGGGGTAAGACCGGGGTATGACATATTGAGACTCCCCAAAGTGTGAAGCGAGAGAGAAGGCGGGATGAGGAGGGGCTGAAAATGAACAAAGTGGGATATCTCCCTGCATGAAACCCCTGAATCTGTACAGCCAATATAAAAAGAGCGAAAGAAAATAAATAAAAAGTGGGAGGAGAAGCAAAGGGTAGGAAAGAGAAATAAGAGACAAAAACATGAGGAAAGTGGAGGAGAAAGAAATACAGTACCAGGAACACAAAGACAGGAAAGAAGCGGCCTGGATCCCTCCGCCCCCACACGGTCTGCCTCACACCCAGCGCTCCATGCCCACTGCCACGCTCCCTGCTGCCGGGGGACCTGTCTTTTGTCCCCCAGAGCTTGACTCCTACAGCCAGCTCCTTCCCCTCTGCGGCCTGGGTGAGAGGCCACCCCACTCTAAATCCCCCTACTGAGCAATGGACTGCCTGCACCAGCAGCCTGGGCTCCACAAGTGGAGGTGCTGGGGGGTTCCTGGGTCCGTTGCCTCAGGATCCCAGAGCCTCCAAAGCTAGGGAACAGTTGCTGTCTGTGCGGACTCCTCAGACAGGATCAAAACAGCATGAAAGAAATCAGAGAGAGAACTCTGTCGTCGGCAGGAGCTGGACTTCTAAAACCCCCTTCCGCCCCCATAGGCTTCAATATTAAAAAACCCCCTAGGAGCCTCAGACACTGTATTAATTAGTGCAACCACCCATGAAAAGTTGGGTTTGGAGCGGCATTCTTTGCCCTGTGTGAAAAACCAAGTCTAATAAACAATTGTTAAGTTGGCCTGTTGCCGCTGGTAAATTACATAGCATTAAAAAAATAATGCTTTTCATATTAGGCACTAATTAAAGGTTGGGACAGCTTTAAAACAAGAGAGGGAGGGGGGAAATCAAAGAAAATATAAAAATGTTCTTTCAAGAGTTATGGGAGGTTAATAAAGTATGTCTGTTAGACTGAGCCTACTTTGCCCCTAGCTACAGCCAAACTGGAGCCACCACAATTGGGTCTCAATAAGATAATGATATTCCTTTCTCTGCTATTAAAAGCCTCCCAGTGCAAACTTAAAATGATTTATTTAATTTAGGAAATTATGAGGTGTAACTTCAAAGCCCGAGCCGTTAGTAATGGAAAATACCAGGTTGTTTAAAATTATAATAATAATTGTTTGGAGGACTCAGGACATCAAAGTGTTTTCATCAACAAATGCGGAGAGGTCGGAGGAGGTTGGAAAGAGTCAGAGGAGGTGGATGGAGTTTGGATTTGATTATTATGAACCTTATCAGGGCAGGACTCAGGATTCCTGCAGCCTAGTACTCTGCTCTGCTTTGAAGCAGGATATTTTGGAAAGTAGTTTTACTGCTTTTTATTTAGTTCCTAGCAGGGAGGAGGTGAGAGGGTGGCTGCGGGCGGCGGGGGTGGGGGGGGGAGAAGGGCCATAGGGAAGGTGACAGCAGGCTTTTCCTTCTCGCTGTGACTACTTTATTTCATTAAGTGGCTGTGTATCACCAATCTCAAAAGTGTTTTTTTTTTCTTACATAAAAGGGGGCAACAAGCACAATCAACTTCACCGACCAGGCCCTGCGATTTTGGGGAGGGTGTGTGTGTGACGTGGGTTCTTTTATAAATGAGGTTGATGCTTATTTCAAATCCAGCAGTGGAAAGAGAATGGGGGTAGCGGAATGGCCTCTCCAACCCGTGGCAAATGAGAGGCTTTTATAGCAAAGAATGGCCGTGGGAGTGTTCATTCGGTCAGACAAGGTTCTGCTCAAAGGCAGGGATCCTCTTTTCAGTCGGGTCAGGCAGACATTTCACTGAGAGCTCTCATCCCGGCCTGTGCTGCCTACCTCCTGCCACCCTGCCCTGCCCGGCCAGGACAGGCCTGAGGGGAGTGGGGGCTGAGCGCGGGGACCCTGTGATGGGGAACCTGGGATGCTCTGCCAGAAGCCCCGCACAGCCATGAGGGTTGCAAACCAGGACCAGACTCCAAATCTAGGTTGCATCGTTGCTGATGGGCTTGCCTTGCCAACTGTGATGCCCACCTCCTGTACTCGATCTTGGCCTGGATTCCCCTGCCGCTGCCTCCCAGCTCGGTGACCTCAGTGAGCTACACTCTGAGCCTCAGTTGCTTCAACTGAACCTCTTGGAAAGGTTCGTCACAACATGCGCACGTGCAAGAAAATAGCTAGTTCCTCACCTAACAGGGTCTCGGTAACTCCGTAAAAATGTGATTTGCTGCTTTCCGCCCCTCTTTGAAAACTCAGGACCCTCTGTCTGGAACGTTTTGGGCGAAAGCGTTTCAGGTGCGAAAGGGCAGGTGGTTTTGGGGGGCAGTGGAGCAAAGCGTCCAAGGAGCACATACTGATATTTTCGGCTTTAATGCGTGTCTGCGTGGATCCTGGGTGAGTGAGGGTGGCCTGCCGCCGCCGGTTGTAAGCCTGGCCCTCCGACACGCCTGGCGTTTGCTACCAAGCCTGACAGAGGACAGCAGGGCGGAACTCAGTCCAGGACAGGAGGGTACAAGGAATCCCAGAGCAGGGCAAAGGGCTCCTCAACGTGCCCACCCGTGCATCTAGTAGCACTGGCGGGCAATAATGTTGGAGCCTAAATAACTATTCAACCTCCGCTCCAGCCTCGGTTTTTTTTTTTTCCCAGGATCTGGGTCGAAGAGATGGTGGCTAGCCACCCACTGATCCCAGTCTACCCAACTCGCCATGCAAGACACACCCCGATTCTCCGAACCGCGGACCTTTCTTCCCTGAGGCAAACTGCGCCTTACCCCTGAGCCGGTGTTTCCAGATTGCCCACCCCGGCCAACATTGCCCGGGGCTGCGGGGTCGGAGCGGCGCCGGGAAGGAAGCTCGGTGGACAGGCTAATTAGGGACCCAACTTGGCGGCTGATGACGAAACCGAGGACTTTGGCTTTTGGAAAACGCCATTTCCCTTAAATGAATAAGGCTGGATTCGGACTTCGAGTTCAACAGGCTAAGTAGGACAGCAGGGGTGCTGTTTGGGTTAGGGTTACGACCCGGCGGCTCAGCTCCAGCGCAGAGAAAGCGGGAAAGGCCTCGATTTCCAGCACATCCTTGGTTTGGATTCTGCTCCTGTAGATTACTAGTGGCCCCCTAGGAGCCCCGCCACACAGGGACAGTTTCTGGTGCCCACCTGCATGTAAGGTGCCCGCACAATGGAAACCGGATGAAAGCGCCGGTCCTACTAGGTGCTTCTGCGCAGTTCCCCCAGCGCGGTTCCGCACTTTTTTCTAGGTTTCCAAAGTCAGGGGGCTTCCGTCCATTGGAAAATAGACCCCAGCAGTTATGACCATAAGTAGCTACTTCTGATTTATTTGTGAGACAGAAAACTGAATTTAAAATCCATCCTCAGCTTCCTCTACCCATCACCATTTTTACGGGCATTATCTCATAGCCCAAGCTCACAAACTTCCTGCCATTCCCTTTCCACTAATAGGGGCTTGAATGAACGACCTTTTCCCTTCCGACTCAGAATTTTTTGGAGTCTATCTCCCAGTAGGAGATGGCTCTGGTACACAGAGGCGGCTCAACATACTCCTGAAATGGCAGCTGGCATCCATCCCTCCAACCCAGTGGATTTAGTTACCATTTCCAAATGCAAAGAGCCATAGTCCCTTTTTCTCAGCTTTAAGGACCTGGTCCTGATACCTGCAAGATTTCAAGGTTTCCCATCCAGCATCGACAAACTACTCATTCTGGCAACCTCTCTTCCTCACCAGTTCTTTTAAATTCATTTTCCACTGTAGTTTGCAAAAGTTGTAATAGCAAGTCCATCTCTTTTCCATGAACAACAAAAGCTACCAGAAAACCATTTCAAAGTATCTCTATATTTTCAACTGCCCCCCAAACCTGGCCATAACTCTTGATTGATTTACATTAAAACAGTAATTAAAAGGATCGGCCCCCCGCCCTTATCTGGACAACATTTTTGAGCTAAGCCCAATTTAAGTGCGCCTTTTAAAATAATTATGAGTTGGGACAAATTTTACTGCAATAAAACAAATGTTTAATTTAATTCAGAATAAGAGATAAGAAATAACTCTTCAATAAAATATATAAAATTGTACAAGGCACCCTTTCAAAGGGATAGAAGTATATTGGGGGTGGGGGAGAGAGGAAAGATGGATAGGAAGGTAAAATACCAGGAAGCTAAATGGGCTGTTTGACAACACCATTTTTAGCAAGTCAAAACATGGCTTTACCCTCTGCCCCCAACATGTTAAAAAGTATATAAACTTTCCTAATAAGTTTAGCACATACAATAGGCACACACACACAGAAAGCATGATTTTTTCCCCCCTTCCTGGTTCTATTAAGTGTTCAGGAACATTCAGTATATAGTTAAATGGTTACAAGATACTCATTTTTTAAGCAGAAAATTACTACACCCCCCCAAAATCACCATTGCAATGTGAGAGGACTGACCTAGTATTTCACAGAAATCATCGATTCCTCTTGACGTGTTTTAATTTTTCACTCTCCAATTGCCTAAAATGTAGTTATTGAGACAGAGATTAGGAAGTATTCCTATTTTCTCCCCACTGGAAGTGTTCTTAGGATTATTTCATCTCCCTCTTATTGACCTTAAAAAAAGGTTACAAGTTAACTGTGTAGAGAGAGGGAGGAAAATTAGGGCCAAATATGGTAGCATTTAATGAGATTTTTCTGATGTACGTAAAATGCAAACATGTTATACAGCCCCTTCACTTGAAGAATTTCTCCATATCTACTTTCTATGTGCACTGTGTCTAATTCTAATATTTGTTTTCCATAAGCAAAAGTCAATCATCCTATCAAAATCAATTTTCATAAGTAATTTGTCTCCCCCTTTCAGGAAATACAACAAATGGACATACAGTCACTCTTCAGAAGGTGATCAATAGAAAAATGTATATATGTGTATAAATTTTGCCTTTCAAAATAATTTGCATTTTTATGTCTGCTGTATAAAAACATCTTATATTTTATTATATATATTTATACATAAAAACTGTCAGAGCCAATCTTTGTAAAAGGAGAAGGGGGTATCTGGAAGATTACGCCAAGAAAACAGGACTTGGTGCCAACCACCTAAACAAACTTTGATCTGTGTCGTGTGGCCCACAGCCTGGCTGCTCTAGCTCAAAGTGGTGCAAGCAAGGTTTGCACAGCAGGAGGACTGTCAGTGTAGCCTCCTTGGAGAGAAAGGGGAACCCTTTGAAACAAACATCCATCGTGGAGTCTGTCAACCTGGCCCTCCTTAGGATAGATGGTACATGCCATATCCGACTGGCGTGGCATAGAGTCCGACGGGAGGGATAGGAAGCACAGGTCTATGGAAAGGGTAGGATGTTCCATATATAGACGCTGCTTGGAGGGGCGAGTTGATGGGGAAGGGGAGACTGAAGCCAGAGGGCAGCATAGGTTTTGCAGCCATTTTCAGCTTTTCCAGTTCTGCCTCCTGCAGTCTTTTCGCCTTGGCCCTTCGGTTCTGAAACCAGATTTTGACCTGGGTCTCTGTGAGGTTCAGAGAGCTGGAGAACTCTGCCCGCTCTGCAATGGAGAGGTACTGTTTCTGGCGGAACTTGCGCTCCAGAGCTAGGAGCTGGGACGTGGTGAAGGGTGTGCGTGGCTTCCGATTGGTCTTGTGCTTCCTCAGGGTGCAGGTGGTGGGGCTCATATGTCCTAGAGGACAAAGAGGGGACTCGGTTAGCAAAGGTGGGCTTCTCTCCAGGTTGTTTGTGCAGATCTCCTTTCTTAACTGAAAACACTCGGCTTACACATACACACATATTTTGTTTCATCTTTCAAAAAGGTACCTCTGTAAACCATATTTTTTTGGTGGGAGGAGGTTAAAAAGGACCAAATTTAATTAAATAAACTGCTTCTTTAAAAAAAATTGCTCTGGGAATTTAATGGTGTCATGGAATGTTCTATATGGAAAACAAATAGCATTAGAGAGAAAAGAAATAGAATTCAAGCTCGAAACTCTCATAAGTCAAGGGTGAAATATAAAGTCAAGGGTGGTGAGAAATATAAAACTTCATGAATTTAATCCCTTGTCTTTAAAAGGAGAGGGCTCATGATTATCCCATACCTCCCCCAAGGCTGTGACAATCTCACACACACACACACACAAGGAAAATGAAGAAGTTATTACATACTGGGTTAGCTGTTTCCCTTGGTCCCCTCTCTGAACTGGGAAAAGTTGGATTGCATCAGCATATTTATGAAAAATAATCATGCAGATAAGGTCTGTGGTAAATTAATGGATGTGGGGGCAGACCTATGCAATAACCAACCACACAGCTGCCATTCCATGCAGTCTACAGATTATAAAAGCTGAACATCATTGTACAGATCTGGATGTGGGTTAAGTTTCTTGGCTGGGTGCTTCGGTAATATAAACTTTACTAAGACGGAGGGAAAAATTAGCTCGCCCATAAATGTACATGTCAGGGGAAATCATGCTGCCTCCGAATTGAGAGCACATGATGACATTTTAGTCATCTCCTCTACTCATTCTATGGTTTAGAGCAAATGTGTAAATGATTAGTTTGTCTCCTGAATTTAGAAGTGGGAATAACAAGCAAAATAAAAGTATGGCGGCAGTATCCAGACTCGGAATTTAAAATGGATTCAATTATAGGAAGTCATAGGGCTAGGATATGCTGGTGATGATTCTCCCGTCAACTCACTTCAGGCTTGTTTTCAGGGTGGGGGGAGGAGCGTACAGCCATAGGAATAGAGTGCTAAACAATTATGTTCTGCATTTGGCTTTTATGAGCTACCGATAATTTTCTAAATGCAGCCACAGTAGCAACTCCAGTGTGCTCATTGGAGAATGCCACTTTTCTTGTTTAGTTACTTTAGTGGCCCAAAAAAGTTTACACTTCATACTCCAGAGTGACATAGCACAAGTCCCAACCCAGCCTCCATTTCCAATGAGAGACAGATCTGTCCCAGTGTCACATTATTAACATCACTTTCCTGGCACAAAAATAAAATCAGTAGGTTCCCTAGTCAAAGAGCTGACATCTGGGAGTAAGATGGGCAAAAAAACTCCCATAAAAGTCTAGACTTTTGCATATGCTAATACCTAAGTAAGCTGGAGAGCAGAGGAGCCTATTTCCTCTTTTAAAAACTCGGTAACACTACTGGCACCATCCTAGAAAGCTTAGGAGAACCGCAAAAGTCTTACCCTTCCCTAACCTGGCCAGAATGAGAAGGAGCCTGGTCTCAGCTTGGACACCGAGCTCCTAGTATGTATACTACACTTATACTGTACTTCGCTCCCCGCTGTACGCAGGGATTTGAAGCATCTAAGCGCCTGGGCGGGGTAACTCTAGCTGCTCCGTGGGGCTGCACTGGAATTATGAAAGCCAGGCGATGGGGATCTGTATATCAAAGCCATAAAACTAAGTTTCCTTCCAGAGCACCATTCCCCACCCCCCCACCCCATTTTAAACTAGGCAGAGGAAGGATGCGATTACACAAGGCAAAACAGCATTTATCCTACTTCCTCTGAATAACAAAACCAGGCCCCTGGGAGGGTGGCTCCCTAGTTTCCAAGCTCTGTTGTGGTAGCTGGGCACTCTGGCCCACCCCAGTACCACCAGATCACTGGGCTCCCACTAGCACTCCCAGGACCAAAGTACCAAAAACCCTTCCCGTCTTAAAATGGTATCTTTTCTAACACTATTCTCTCCAGTACTTGTGCAAAGGTAATATCTAGGGTGCAAAGCTGCCTTCCAGAGAACAGAGAAACTACAGTAAAAGTCAGAAATGGTTTCAGGATTAGTGCGGAGTGGCCCCCTCCCCGACTAAGGATGCCAGGACTTCTGACCTTTGACTATCATTCCATTTAAGGCCTGAATCTTTGATGTGCTGCTAACATTGCCCCAGGCCTAAGAATACACATGCACTGGAAATTTGTTAATGTGTTCAGTCTTGATGTTTGTAAGCCTTTAGTCCACTATCAGTGAAATGGGTAAATCATACGTATTTCTCAGGGTGGCTTCTGAGTACCACATTTTAGAGTGCCAGAGACCTGTTACTTGGTAGGTGATCTTTAAATGTCCCCAAGCTTTTTGTTGGGCCCAAACTGCTGATCCCTCTGAACTCTGCTGAAATGTTCATCTGTTAACAAGAGGCCGGCTGCTGCGGTACAAAGGAGATCAGATAAGATAATATGGTGAAAAGTGCTGTAAAGCACTGTGCAAACTTGAGTTTAAATTCTTTGAGTCCTTAATCTCCTCGCCCTTTGAGTCTTTCAGAATTTCCAGCAGGGTGGAGAGAGACTGCCGGAGGGGACAGCCACTGACGCCTGGGTATAGGGTCTTGTTTTGTTCACAAAATATTGTGCACCTCCAGTCTTCTGAGCTAAATAATGGAAACACAAAGAAAGTTCTCTCCACCCACGGGCCCTCTCTCTCTCACCTTCCTTAAAGCTACGGGAGGGGTCTTTCAGGGAAGGAGACAGAAAGAAGAGCACAGAGAAATCATAAAGGCCAAGAAATGCACCTAAAAGGATGATAGGGAGTGGGACTCTCAAAATTAAGGATAGCTGCTACATGTACAGATCGCCACAGCTTCTAGAGATGGAGTGCAGGTGCACCTGGACCTGGTCTCTAGGGAGACAGGACAAGAAAGGCCAGGGCACTGCAATCAAGGGCAGGGCTTGGCCACAAGATCCCCGTGTCCAGTGTACGGACTGTCCCTGACTAGAGCCAAGCAAGTGCGGCCTGCATAAAAGCCTAAGCATCCACTTCTGAAAATGGGGGTGGACACTGCTTACAAGCCTCTTCCTATATTCTGGGGCGCTTGCGAGGATTCAGATCTGATGGGATAATAAACATCACCTCGTAAACTCTGAAGCCCTGCTGGAATGCTGCTAATTATTACTGTGGGCCCAGCCCGCTCCCAGCGAAGTGTAGAACTTCGCCAACCAGGCGCTCGCTGTGGTGGAGACAGGGTGACGTTTCCTTTCTGCTTCTGTCTGCCACCATCTATTCCTGGGATCTGGCTTCTCCACCAGCCGAGTCCCACGAAAAGTAATGATTTCCACTGAATGTCTGGTTACACTCCAACGACCTCATCTTTAAAATGGGAGCGCACTTCGCAGGGCTACGCATTTCAAAGCGCGGCGAGCCAAGCGGCCTCGCGTCTAGCCCTGACTTCTGCGCTCATTAAACGTGGACCCTCACTCCCCAGGAGAGACCTCACGGACAGTGGAACAGAAACAAGCCCAGTGGCCGGAGCACACGGCTGAGTGCTGCAGACTCACGCGGCGGGGTGACCCCTTAAGCCCACCTGGGGTTCGCTGCTCACAGCCCAGCGAGTCCGCCCTGGTGCTGAGCACTTTGCGCAGCGAGGGGACCCGGACAGGCACGGCACCGAGATTTCCCGGAGAGCGGCCCGGATGCGGACGGCGGGCTGATTTCCCTGGGTACCCGGAGACCAAGCACTACTCAGCTTGCGTCCCCAGCGTACAGTGAACCGGAGGGGGGCTTCGATCCCCGCCTGATCCCCGGTCCTCAGCTCCCGCCAGCTCCCCACGCCGCGTCTCAGCGCGGTCCCGACCTGGCGCGCACTCACTCGGCGGCGGCGAGTATCTGCCGGCTTCCTGCATCCACGCCGCCCCGTCTTCTGAGTTCTCCGACTTGACCGAGGCAGTCTCGAAGGGCTTGACCAGAGGCCCGGGACTGTGCGCCTCCCGGGCGCCGTGTCCCGGCAGCAGCAGCGGCCGCAGGCTGGCCCCAGCCGACGCGCTCTCGGCCGGCAGCGGAGACCCCGGCTTGGGCGGCTTCTTATCGGACATGAGCGCCTCCACGCTGAAGGGCAGGCTGGAGACCTTGACGCGGCGCTCCTCGGAGCCCCCCTCGGCGCCCCCCGGCCCGGGGCCGGGCCCTGCCACCATGGCCGGGCCCTCCTCATCGGACGAAAACAGCTCATTGCCTTTGGACGGAGAAGCCATGACTTCTCTGCCCCGCGTAGCTCCGGGCGCGCGACTCCGCTGGCAGCTCCGCAGCCGCGACACAAACTTTTTGCGGGGGAGACGGGAGGGGCGCGCTGGGAGCCGAGCCTTTCCTCCAAGGGGAAGTAGGAGACGCGGGGCAGCCAATCCGCGCCAGCCATGGTGATGACGCCTCAGACGCTCGCCTCCCATTGGCTCTTCCAGAAGAGGCTGGAGTTTTGTTTTTTTTTTCCTGTTTGAAATAAATTAGGAGTTAATTACAGGAGCAGTCAGCAGAGTTGTTATTAGGCGATCCCTCAAGGGTTATAATCACGCCAAAACTGAAAAGTCCAAGACGTAATTAAGGCCGATTATTTAAAGAGGAAGTTCGCTGAGTCCCATTTCTTCTTTCTTTGACCTCTCTTGAAAAGGCATCTCGTTCTTATCCCACTGTGCCCGTCCCACAGCCCGAACACGCTTAAAATCCGCAGTTGGTATAGCAGGATCGTTGATGAAGCTCCTACTATGCACGCAGGCTGGCCTGACTTTGCAGGTCTGGTAGACAGAGCTGAAAAGCGCGGGCCAGCGTCCTTGCTAAAGCAAGTAACAGGCGTGGCGCCGAGAAGAGCAGTGTCTTGTCAGCAAGTGCCCCACAGCCTCCGCTATTAGTATAACTCGTTCTTCGAGAAATGGGGACCAGAGGGGGTCTGAGAGGTGGCCAGGGGCTACCTTCCCCAAGTGACTCTTTATGGAGAAGTTAGCAGCAGCCAGGTCTCCTCCACTTGGACACACCGTGCTAAGCCCCCCGCCACGACGCCAGAGCACAGAGCTTTTGGAAACCAGAAACCTCGCGTGTCTCGGCCCCAGAATCTCCTTTCCGCAGAGATCCGCATCTGATTTTCGCCTCGAGACAACCAAATGCAAAATGTGTCCGTCAGTTTGAGTGTGAGCTTGCTTTGTGTGTGTATGTGCCACTGTTTGCTTTGAAAGGTGAAGGCGAGGGAGACAAGTCGCCCATAATAATATTCAGCACCTTCTTCCCTCTTCGAAGGCTCAGAAAGACCGAGTTCTACATTAGCACACCCAGGCCTCTGTACCTTTTGGGAAGCACATTTTTATTCACTCTACCTTGCGAAAAAGAAAAGAAAATGGAAATTTAAAAATGCATACATATCTCTAACCCACCCCAAATTATACCCTCAGTACTGAGCGCCAAACCCTCAATGATGCCTGTCTCAGCCAGGTCGTAGAGAACGCAGAGGCCTCGAATCTCTCCGCGGTCCCGCAGGCCACTGTCGCAACGCGTCCTTCAAGGCTCGCTACAGGTGGCAGCTGCTTTTTCCTATATCTGAACCATTACTCCCAGAGGAACTAGATGTGGAGCGCGTGGCTCGCTTGCTCGCGCACACACAATCAACTCTTCCTAAAGTTTCTAGAGCTTTGGAAGGAAATGACAGTGTTTTAAACTATTTAAAGAACCAAGGTTCGGAAGCTTGCTTCACAAACATTTGCCTGAAGTGAAACTGTTGGTCCCGGGAGAAGGAAAGAAAAAAAAATATCAGAATCTTGGGGGATAAAAACAGTCTTCATCGACCAGCTACTTCATTTTGATCCTGGGAAAGTTATAGAGTACAGAAGTTCTCACCATTATCTTCTAAAAACCTTTGGATGGTTTTTTGAAATAGGCTGTCGTCCTTCGTCTTCTCCCTCCGCTTCTCTTCTTCCCCTTTTTCCTCTTCTTTTAAACAAACTGGGATCTCAGAGAAAGTTTAAAGAACAACTATGAAGGCTATCTTGAGATGTATTTTCCCCTTGAGTCATACCTGATGATAGCTGGCTTGATATGCATCTCAAATACAGTACAGGTAAATCCAGACGAAGTTCTGTGCCTTCTAGATGCATGAGAAAGGTGCTGGCTATATAATTTGGAAGGAAATTTGAAATTCGTTTAGCCCTCAGATGCCAAACTGTACAAAAGTGTGCAACTTTCAGTGGAGCTGAACCCAGTCAAATGTTGTATAATTTTTCCTGAAAACTCATTGTTAATATTTATCAGCTTAGGGGCACAGGGGCTCATTTCTGAGAAGTTAGAAAATAAACATATTCTATGGGTTTGCTGTTATCTTAATAAACTTCTCTAAGATAGGAAAAAGTTTCTCTCCTCACTAGGCTAAAGTCTTGATGTTCAGGCAGAGAACAAAAAGTATAAAGCCAGAAAGAGGAAAATAGTAGAAAAATTTTTAAAATAGCTAAAATAATAGTCAGAGAGCCAGGATCTGGCCCTGAATAGGACAGGAGATAACCAGCCTGTTCGCCATACCCTCTGCCAGTCCCCACCCCACATTTTGCTGGGGCATAGACCTTTCGGGAAGCTTCTTCTTTCCGAATTCTCTGCTCCAGGGCTTCTGGGAGGAAGGCTGGATCCTCAACAGGGCTGCAGCTCTTTATGCGAAGCCCAGTCTGTGCATTCGCTCCCAAGGGCGGCTGGGCCTTCAGAATACTTTAGCACCTCTTCTGACATCGCGACCTTCGCAACCCTACTTTGTCATCATCGCTCTACTTTTTTTTTTTTTTTTTTAATCTCTAAAATGAGAAGTAATTCCTACCTGGGATGGGCTCTTGTGGTCATTAAATTCAGTAGGTTTCATAAAATAACCAGAAGGAGTAGGGGACCAACTTAAAAAACATTCTTGGACATTAAAAAAATTTTTTTTCACTGAATACTTTTACCCCTCCGGAATCAAAAACTAAGGCTCATCTCTCACCTTCATGGATCTCAAGGTTGGGACACTGTAAAATCTCCAGGGCCAAGAATTGGTTGGTTTACCCTGGCTTGAGTATAGTGCGTCATTAGGGGCCTCACTTTAACACCTAAGAGATACTCTGTAGATGCTTGTTTCCTGGCGGTGGTCATGTTTACGTAGCTGTAATATTTGCAAGTGGAAAAACAGGGTTCTAATCGGAACTCAGCCGCCACGAAGACCTAACTGCACAATGCTCAGAACTGAGACTTGTTGAGAAGTGCATTTGTTTCTTCCAACACCCCGCGTCCAGCGGAGATTATTGTCCCCATTTTACAGATGAAGCCCTAGAACAGGAAGCGTTAAACGCTCTGCCCAAGGTCACACAGGTAGAAGTTGGGAAACCCGCGAATTCCCCCGAATGCTAGGGCCTCTCCCCCGGGTCCCCTGCCCTCCGCGTCCCCTCGCTCCCCGGGGCTTTGCGCCCAGACCCGGCCGGTCGCGGAGCCGCTGCGCAGGCGCGCCCGGATTCCCCGGGCAGACACCCCTTGCAAACTGTGGAGCGCTGCGCGCAGACCGCAGAGTCTGCAACCGCGAGGACCGATCGCGGGATCCCGGAGGCGAGGAGGCGGAGGGGGAGGGGCGGCGAAGGGGGCTGTAGACGGGCCAGGGCTGCGGGCAGGCGCCAGGCGCGGGGAGATGAAAGGCGGGCTCGGGGGAAGGGGCTGCGCCGGGTGACCGGCTCCAGCCGCGCCGGGCGCCCCGCCCCCGCTGCCCGGGGCAGAGGCGGCTGCCTGCGCCGGAGCCGCGTTAATTGCTCTCGGCCCCGGCACTCAGCCTGCGCGGAGCCGGGACAACCTCGCTCCAGGAGGAATGACAATTCGCCCTAATGGGACAACCTCACTCCCAGAGGAGTGACAATTCCTTCTAATGGGCCGCTTGTTAGCGGCCTATTCTCCCGAACCCGGGTATCAGAAGCGGGCAGACAAGCGGGCGCCAACCTCCGCCAGGAATTCCACAACATTGCTCTCCACCCCCCGGACATTCGCTGTGTGACCTCGGGCACAAAACTGCTCCTCTCTGAGCTCGTATTTCTTACCTGTGCGCTATGGAGTTGGAGTGGGCAGATCCAACTTGAGTAGGCCAAACATGTTCCCGGGCGCTTAGAGAAGTCTCTCTGGGAGTTACGCAGCAGGGAAGCGAGGTAGCGGGATTCAGGGTCACCCTCTGGGGACGCGATTGTGGAATCTTGGAGATCTAAGCTGTGGGTTGCAGAGCCTTTGCCAACGCCCTACACGGCTTACTGAAACCTTGAACCCTGACCTTTAGTTGGCTTCCCACTTCCCAGTTGAAGTTGAGGGGAAGAGAGAGAGCGGCTGGGTTGAGTGGTAACGTCGGGCAGAGCCTAATTCCATCTACGCCCCAAGGTCAGCCAGGGTATGCTGCGGGAGAGTGATGTGAGGAGGCCACAGACGCTACCCCTTGGCGGGATCCTCCCCACAGCAGGTGTGAGGGCTCCCCAAGGGGAGGAGCCAGGGTCCTCAGCCTTCTCTGTATCTGTATTCAAACGCAGACCCCATTTCTGACCGTTTATCATCATTGCCTCTAGGGTTTCCTCTTTGAGAGAAGGAGGATACTAACGCCCAGACTACAGGGCTGCTACTGAAGACCAGTGCCAGCAGCCAGACCCAAAACCAGCAGCATGGCGCAGCCTTCAGCTTCACACGGCTTGGTGGGGTGGTTTGCAGTAGGGTTGAGCCATTTGTTTCCTGTGGGACTCAGGATAAGTCACTACACCTTGTGGGACCACAGTTGTCTCACCTGTACTAGGGCAGTTGTATACTATTATCATTTCTTAGATCATTATCAATATTTTTAAACCTCTTTTCCCAGTAGGTCCTTGTGGCATTGCACACCTCTAGGCTCCGGGGATTTGAGGCATGGAACTGCAGTTTTGCTCAGCCTCTGTTAAATAACTACCGATTTCTTGAGATGGAAGTAGATTTGCAGCTCTGTCGAGTGAAGGGTGAAGATTAAGGGAAAAGGAAGGGTTTAGATACACAGCAGGGAATACCTCTCCTCTCCCAGGCCCTGGACACACCTTCCTGGCAGCTTCCAGATCCCTCCTAGGACTGCAGGGTAGTTGCTATGAGCAGGGCCCTGGCAGAGAAAAACCCAGAAGGCTCCCTGGAAGAGGGGGTTCCAGGAAGCTGGGTGGCTGCAGCGTGGGGAACACTGCGGTCATCCAGGCTGGCACCTAGGGGATCTTGCCCGGCCATGCACGCATGTGTGCTCTGCACCTCTTGAGCTTACCCATCTGTAAAGCCCAAAAATCACTCAGACTGGGCTGGGTTGACAGGAAGGTGTTTGGTTTTGGTGCTAGGAATT